AAAAAAAAAAAAAAAAAAAAAAAAAAAAAAAAAAAAACATACCACATGTAAAATCTTGCATAAAAATATTAAATATGCTAAAATTTATTAATTTAATTTTTTATTTAATTTAATATAAAATAATTAAAAATACATATTTATTCTATTTTTCACTTAATTTCATTCTATTTAACAATATTTATTTTATTTCTTTCCTATTTTCTATCAAATCAATTATAACCTATTTTTTCTCATTTCTTTCTATTTGTCTCTCTCCCAAACAAAGCCTTAATTTTCATAATATGGATTTTCATTTTTTTCCAATTATAATATGGTAATGACAGCAAACATTGCATTAAATTACTTGCAACCACAGACACTGAATTGCTTAGGTAGTGTTTGTTTCCAGGGATTTACTATTCACGAACAAGGAAAGGCGAAGAAAATTGTTGTTCGTTTTCGGTGATTTGCGACGACGGAAAGGCGAAGAAAAGGGGGGAGTAGCGTGATTCGCGTCCTCGTACAAAAGCGAAGAAAGCCACGTAGGATTTATGAAAACCCGGAAATGCCCCTTTGCATGCATGCGTAGTGTGCCATGCAGTAGAGGAAGCATATACGAAGGAAGCATAATCGATTATGCTTGGCCACATAATCGATTATGCAAGGCCATAATCGATTATGTGGCCAAGCATAATCGATTATGCTTCCTTCGTATATGCTTCCTCTACTGCATGGCACACTACGCATGCATGCAAAGGGGCATTTCCGGGTTTTCATAAATCCTACGTGGCTTTCTTCGCTTTTGTACGAGGACGCGAATCACGCTACTCCCCCCTTTTCTTCGCCTTTCCGTCGTCGCAAATCACCGAAAACGAACAACAATTTTCTTCGCCTTTCCTTGTTCGTGAATAGTAAATCCCTGGAAACAAACACTACCTAAGCAATTCAGTGTCTGTGGTTGCAAGTAATTTAATGCAATGTTTGCTGTCATTACCATATTATAATTGGAAAAAAATGAAAATCCATATTATGAAAATTAAGGCTTTGTTTGGGAGAGAGACAAATAGAAAGAAATGAGAAAAAATAGGTTATAATTGATTTGATAGAAAATAGGAAAGAAATAAAATAAATATTGTTAAATAGAATGAAATTAAGTGAAAAATAGAATAAATATGTATTTTTAATTATTTTATATTAAATTAAATAAAAAATTAAATTAATAAATTTTAGCATATTTAATATTTTTATGCAAGATTTTACATGTGGTATGTTTTTTTTTTTTTTTTTTTTTTTTTTTTTTTTTTTTT